CCGCTAACTTATACCCGATACCGTCAGCTGCGTATGTTTGTCAAGTTAATGTCCCTGATCACTACGAACGTATGAACACCGGTCTCGAGTGGCGTTACGAAAAATGAGCCTCGACTGTGTTCCTGAAATACAGTCGCCCCGATGCAGTGACATGATTTATTGAGCGGACCTGTTTTACACTGGTCGAGAAGATTAATATTGAAGGAAATAGGTGTGAAGATGATCGCATTGTTCGTGTCCTAAACGATATGTGCACTTTATTTATTTAAAGTAACACAATCGCATGTTTAAGGAGATTGCAAGGACATAAGTACATATATTAATATTTACGCTTTAAACTACATGTATATGAAAGTTGTGTTCATAACATTGTGGTTTTATTGAACAACACATTTATTTTATTTGTTATTATTTTCATTGTTTTTAAACCAAAATTTTAAAAGCGATGGACAAAGATCTAAATTTTTTGTATAAGTAATAAACTTTAAGTAATAAAATTATGAAAATTTTTACTGAAATTCAAATTAGTTTTTATAACAAATAAATATTTTATTTATTTACTGAACTAACTAATATCGCATTTCAATGTGACTTTACATAAATATTCTTGAATTTATAAAGTACTTATATAAAAGAAATTGAGATTTTTATCATTATTTTATAATACATTTTCAAATATTTCTATTAAAATATAATACAAATTTTTTAAATATTATTTTTTATTGAAATAACTTTTAATCCAGATGTTAAACTGTCTCTAATTTTTTGTATTACTTTTAAATACAATTTAGAATAATCTGTAATTTTTTCAAGTAATTCTTAACATTTGATCGAAGTAAATAAATGACAAAATTAAACAAAAACGTGAGGTTGGCATCCCATATTTTCAAATTATTTTTTTTTTGCATTTAATTATAACTCTTTTCAAAGTGCTTTATTAATTATATTAAAATTTTGATAATGAGGTGTCAATTTTACAGCGGCGATATTGTACATGAATCACAGGATGTGCGAGTCACATGTTGATCTCCAAGTCACGGAACAGACAGTACAAACATCTTTTTCTAACAAATGTCAAAAAGTAACAAGCCATCTGGTAACGATACAAAGGCGATGGTAGTATCAAACGACCTGCAATTTTCTTTTGGGAGAAAAAGTTAGCGTCTTCTACGAACGTATTTCGTAGAGGTAGCTTCGATTTACTATCTTCCATGCTTGTTAGACCTTTTTTGCGGCCAACACGGTGGAGTGGTGATTCAATTGCGGACGAAGTCGCGGTCGGGCCACGTACGAGGTCCACCCTCGATTTATTTTACTGGCTCTCCACCCAAGGGTGCAGCAGGGTGGTGATCGATCAAAGGTAAAGGATCGATGGTTCGGTTAAAGGTAACAGCTGGTTCGATTTTCACCTTCCTCTAAAATTTAGGAATACTTCGATTCACGCTGTCAGGAAGAATAAAGGAGTGTCGAATGTACCTCGAAGATCTTAAATTAGGAATTGTATAACAGAGTTTGTCCACGAATGATTTTGTCAAAATCAAACAAGAGAAAAAGGTATCTATACTTGTACATATTTACATACATGTACTATTTCACTCTAACTTATACTATCAAAATATGATCTTAATTAAAATTATAAAGTGAGACAATATAAATTAAAGTGACGTAGTACAGGGTGTTTGGAAAGATGGGATCAAACTTATGTAACGTGTTAATGAAGTCGAGTAAGTAAAGAAAGTTCATATAAACTCATGTCCGAAAATGCTTTATTGAAAAGTTATAAACATTCAAAAATCATTTTTATTAAATGGTATGATAATTACAATAAATGTCCGAAAATAGATTTGGCGCCTATCTGGACATTCTGTAATAAAAAAGAAATGTATATAAAATGTATAATATACTAATTGTAAGTACATTGAAAGATTTTAAGATTTCTCACATAAATTCAAGACTTTATATAATCATATATTCGAAACGGCTTACAATTACTTTCAAAGATAAGGAATGTTAAAGATGAAAAACAAATTACATTTTTTTCTAAAAATTTCGAAAACTTTATTTAAAGTTTCATTAAAATAACTCGGTTTATCAAAATAATTTGAAATTTTTGAAAAAATAAAATTTATTTACACCTTATATCTTTGAAACTTTTTTAAATCTTTTCGGTTATACGAAATTTTCTTGAATTTGTATAAAGAATCACTCCTTAAAATATTTTAGCGTACTTAGCATACATTCTGTACATCTTTCTTGTAAAATTTTAACAAAATCGTTCGTGGCCAGAGATTCTGTTATATAGTCTCCATCTTAAACTTAAGAGCACTCTTGGCGTCAAGTATAAAATATATCTTTTGCATAATGCTTTATGAATATATTTGCGTCGGTAAATCGGAGAGACGCGACAATCGACTGCATTGTTTGCATCTGATTGAAACAAAATTGAAAAGTAACATTTGACAATTGTACTGCGAATATTATTATAACGTATTATAACAAAATTTGATATCATATATTAATTAAATATTATCAAATATTTATTACATTTGCAGTACTTAAATTATAATTAATATATCTTGATTGTTTGCGGTTGCAAATTGGCAACTAAATAAATACAAATGAAAATGTTTCGTCAGTTAGTTTTTCATTTTTAATAAAATATTTTCACAATAATTATCAAAAAATGAATATTGACAGACGAATTCCCGGCGCGACGGGTCCGCCAGTTCAATTGGACGATTGCCGAAGTAATTGATCGTTCCTCTTAGCAACTACCAAGAACGTCGTTGAATTCTCGAGATACCAGCAGTACATCGTAAAACGAACGACGTCGTGCGTGTCTCTTCGTGGAATGTTCGCGAAGAGAAGTCATTCAGGGATGTCTGAGAAGGAAATGAAGTTCCTTCGCTCGTAGACGGCTGACTAGAGTGGACGATGTCCACTGACGAAAGTCAGTGGATTGTAGGACGTATAATTGAATGTTGATGGGAAGTACGGAACATTGTGAGATCTTAATTTCGGCGTGACATCGTTAGCGTTGCAAAAACGTCCTCAGTTGCAGCTAACGACAAACTCCTCGTGTTCTCGTTAACATCGTATCTTAACGATGCCCGTGCTCTCCCTGACTTTCAAGCGGCGAAATCGGGGAGAGTACACGCTCTTTGGGAACCCGTAATTTTCAATAATATTCTACCAAGCGCTGCACAAACAATACACTGAATAGAATTACGCCCCGTAATCATCGTTAGTAAACCTACGAATTTAGTTTAATCATTTAAATCAAAGGATGCAAAGCGATTCTTTTTATATGAATAAGTTAGTTTCTCTATTAAAATGGATACATCTTAAAAACTGCGCGAAAAATATGTTTATTTTAAATTATTATACAAAAGATTTTTCTCAGAAAATAACATGAACAAATAGAGAGAAAGCACACGGAAAGAACGATTTTGTTGAGGTATCTAAAAATTTAATTAGATAAAGATTTGAAAATAATTTTGCTGTAGATCATATCAAAATAATAACTATGTAGAAGTTCAAGTATAATGAATAACGCTACAAAATGTTTTACATTTTAGCAACTAGCTTGAGCGTCTTACATAATTATTTTAATGGTCTAATAAAATTATATATATACCTCTAGCTAAATTTTTAGGTACCTTAAAACGTTTCTTCCGTACAGTTTCTGGCAAACGTATAAGGTTACGTATATAAATAGCGTTTATAACAATTTCATTTAACGATGCCCTACGTCATAAGCTTAGAATTTGTGCGCGACGAGGTAAGCATCATCGAATGGCTGTACTGCAAAACGTTATTAGGCTGAATAACGTGTCATAATAATGATAAAGAAAGATTCTTTTCACGATGGAACCATTAAATCCGCTCATATTTCACACCATCGAGAAGTTGGATATTCATTGCTCCAGTAATAGGAATAAAACGTCGCAGTGCGAACAACGAAAGGGTCTCAAGCCTCGTGAAACAGTAATAAGCTGTTGTCTCCTTACGATGCTCGCGCTTGCTTTTGGTATTCCTTGCGTGGAAATGAAGATCTCTCTCTCTCTCTGTGTTGCCGCAGACCACCTTGCTCGCAAGTCGGTCAGCAAACGACGGTGGAAGTCTCGAAACTGGTTTGTCAGATAATTGAGATCCACCAATGGGAATCCGAGAAACTTGGAGAATCCCGGTCGACGGACTGTAACGATCCTGTGTACCGCGGACGCGGAGATTCGCCGAGGTGGTATTTCCAGCAACAAGATTTAATGGAAGGGTAGGAAGGGGAGAAAAGAGAAGAAATATGCTTTTGACTTGCGTACGTTTACTGCATGGTCATTGATTCCTACGAGCACGAAATGCGAGACAAAAATTCCGGACACGTCGTATCCACCCTCACAAAAATTAAGCGGGTTCTTAGCGCCTCGAGATATCGCAGCGAGATCATCATTGCGAGGTAGTGTGGGGCGTTTCAAAAGAATCCGTATATCTTGTGGCTCGATGATTTCTCCTCAATCGCATACAAAGCGAATCTCTCGAACGGAAACTCTCAGTCATCCGGAATTGATTCCGTCGGTACTTCCTCCGGACGAACCTGTTTTCCACAAAATAATGTAAGTATAATGCCAAGCGATCCCCTCTTGTGTACGGTTATTGCATTTCATTTCGGCTGCGGACTTTTTGCTCTCCTTTCAACAGTCGTTCGGAAAAATACGGTAAAGAATATGGGACAATCTCATATCGTCAATAACGATAGAGAAATTTAAAAAGAGAAAATTATAGAGGGAATTATGAAGGAATCTTTATTGTGTTGCTTTCTGTTATAATTACGAGAGAAAAAAACATCAGTAAATCTCTATCACAGACATTCTTGTTTGCAATAAAGATGAAAGGGAACGTAGGGACAGCGACATAGGGAAAGCGACATAAATGAAAGTTGTTTTAAAAGTAAAAAAAATCGCAAATTGAAAATATTGTGCATGCGATTTTCTCCTTCATTACAGAACCTGTGACGGAAATAGCCGGCGGTCCTGAACTGTTCATCAACAAGGACAGCACGATAAACTTAACATGCTACGTGAGACACGCGCCTGAACCACCGTCGACGATAATTTGGAGTCATAACCATCAGGTAAGCCGAACTTACGATCCGCGAATGAGGGTTTTACTACTTGCTGAAAATCACCTGTCATGCTGCCATGAAGTCATGAGAGGTGCTTTCAACTGAAAACCCATTTGAATTTCATAACCGACGCTGGTTTTGTGAGAGGACCGCAGATATCGGTATAAACAGAAACATTTTTCATGTTCCTTGCGGCTGTTGAAAAAAAGCCTGCAGCTGTATACACGCTTCTATTGGCCTGGTATATCGATTATTGCTAGCAGCGTGTTTTCGTTCCTTCAGACGCAATATTTATCGAAGACGCCAACAACAACTTGCTTCAATAAGATTCCGTTCGAGTGACTTAGCAATCATGATTAAAAGATTTGTGTATTAGAAACACCTTTTTATAATACGATCCTAATCATTATTAAATAAGAGAAAGAATTTTATTTTTGGTCAAAGAGGATCTTGATACTTAATAACACTCATATGCAAATTTGCAAGTACCTACATCTTTCAGTTTTATAAATTGCGAGCCAATTTAATTTATCAGATTTGAAAGACAATTATAAACTGAAATTGGAATATAAAAAATGACATGATAACGTTAAAAATTGAAAAATAATATCCTCTAGTTATCGATTATTGCGACAAATATCTCCACATATCTCGATGAATTGTAAAACACCTGACTTGGAAAGGCAGGAATTGTAGGCTCAACAACTATGGAGGTAATATTTTTCGCATTAAGTTCTTTGCACAGTTATTAGCATTGTTTAAACAATCGACGATCAATAATAATAATTTGTGAAAATATTTTCAATTTAAGATTGCGTTTTACATATATCCGATAAACTAAATCAGTGGCAGTTTATGTAATTAAAAAGTATATTTTTGTAAATAAATAAAATTATTAAAATCTGCTTCGACCGAAAATAGGATTTGTTCTCTTATTTAATTTATTCTTATCAGTCTAATTTCCACTTATAATTATTCTTATTGTAGTATGATAATTTAAATATTTCCATTAAATATAACAAAGTTTCTCTCAATACCACGAGACAATTCATTTGTTTAAGAACATTGCGAAAGTTTCTTGGGAAGTGTACATCTAAAGACGGCCACATTATTAATAATAGACAGATGAATGCTCTCGTAACGTTACGTCAGTTTCATTTAAATTTAAGAATCTCACTATCACGCTTATTTATGTGAACGCGCGAATGACTGGAATAACCAAGATGATTGCATAGACGCTTTAAGTTATAATTTTAGGAAACTTGTCCCGAAATGGTTTATGCCATTCAAGGAATTCACCTACAGTCGACACTTTTGCCCTTTCCACTTCCCACAAAGTGCCTTAAGCCCCGTCTTGTCACGTCACAGACAGATAATATGGCATCTGTTTCTCTCTTCTACCGTGAGGAGGCAATTAAGATTTGGATCAATTAATTATGCGTGCTTATATCGCTATTGTATGCAGCAATTAATTGATTCTTAAATATTAATTCAACAAATATATAATCTTGATGTACGAATGTAATATCCTGGCATTAATTGCAGGGTGGCAAATTCCACATCTATATTGGTAAAAAGTTTTAATTTTGTTACTATTATGTTTTTCTCACAAAAACAAAAATTAATATAAAATTTATAAAATTTTTGATATTATTTCCAAAATTTCTGTTTTAGAAACATAATATTTTTAACATACTAATTTAAATTAACAAGATTTTATTATAAAGTGTTTTGTCATTGTTGATTCGTTTTTTTATTCAATTTATCTTTTTTTAAACTATCATAATTGATGATTTAATAATAAAGCAGAAAATTTTTTGCACAAAGTAAATAAATATATTATAGTATTAAATTTTTATAATTTAATATATTTATAATTTTACATTTTTATAATTTTTCCAATTTAGAGCATTGAATAAAATCCGGACTTACAATAGTTTTTTTTACCATTGAATTTTTCCAGTCCAACCCGAATTAATTGAGATTTTCCATTTATTTGAATTTGGCTGAATATTTAATATTTATTTCAAAACTTTATACTGTGTGATTCCTTTTAACCAAAATTGTTATTAATTTTTCTTTCACTAACAAATGCACGCACATTCATAAATTAAACAATCATGACCGCAATTTCCGCCAGTATTAATTAAATATGATCAAATATGATTAATTTAATGACGCAATAAATTCTGTCCTAATGAAACTTATAAAACAAACATACATACATGATAATTTGCGTAGCCAATTGGATCGTTAATTATCAATTATTATAAAATGTAGCACCTACGGTTGTAATAAAATTATAAATAAAATTTTAAAATAACATTGTTGTAATGCATTACCTGTTTGTTAAAGAACATTAAAGACATAAAAGAGCAATTTATTCCTGAAAAGTCATGTTCTCAGTTCTTATATTGAGTTTAAATAAGATCTGTTTATTGTAATCAATAAAAATCTTTTTGAGAAAACTGCTTGAACAGTTGTTATAAAAGTTGAAGTTTGTTTAATGTTTAAAATCTAGACAGAGGATACAAATTTACAAAACCTAAAATAAATAATGTATAAATCTCCTTATATATATATATATATAATTCATGGTTTTGATATTTTCATAATTACGATCGCGTGATAAAAACGTATTTTAAGTCGGACAGCGAGGTCAGGAAATGAATGTGTAACGTCTAGAAAAAATCCTAGGAAAAAGGATTTCTGTCATTGCAGGGAACACGTTCCGTCGACACTTCCTGCTTCTTCCTTTCCCGCAGAGTGGCCCCATCCGTACTTGGTCACGTCAGAGGCAAGTAACCCGACATGCTTTTTATATCCTTTTTCCGCAGGCGATTAACTTCGACTCACCGAGGGGTGGTATCAGCCTGGTAACGGAAAAGGGACCCGTAACTTCGAGCCGTTTACTCATTCAGAAGGCGATCGGCAGAGACTCCGGCCTTTACACGTGTTCACCCAATAACACTCATCCTAACAGCGTACGGGTCCACATAGTCAATGGTAAAAGAAAAATGCCAATTTCGTTTAGAACGAGCTTTAAGTGCGAGTATTCACACGTTACTTATTTAAATTCGAACGAGACATTTTATAAAAGAACGAATTCACTAGAAAAAAAGATTTTTCAGCATATATCTATTTTGTTCAACATTGTAGTTTTTTAGATAATAACAATTTGTGATAACTTTTACTTTTGCCGTTTATTACGAGGTAATATAAAAAAACACATTCTTTTACGCAAAAATAACACAAAATTAAATTTATCTAATATTCTCTGGAAATTATATAATTCAGTAAAAGATAATTTAATAATTATATTATTACCATTAAAAAAATCAACTAGTTACTTTTTTTATTTAATGAGAGACTATCCTCTGTACGGAAAAAACGATTTTACTGAAATACCTAAAAATTTAATCAGATAATAGATCTAATCTCAAGTATGATAAGCAAAACTGTAAAAACTTTTGACATTTTAACAATCAGCTTAAGTATCCTACATAATCATTTCGATGGTCCAACAAAATTATTGTCAGATCTATAGATTTAGCAAAATTTTTAGATACTTGAGCAAAACCGTCCTTTCTGTATGATGTGTCAAATACTTTTTTTAGTTTATAGAAAAAGGTGTAAACTAAACTCGACAAAAATATTTAGCTTGTAAACGTCAAGTAAGGCCTTTTCGCCCAAAGCAAAATCTCGCGCTCAGCTCCGCGGAAACGTCGCTCTAAATACCACCTGCTAAGAGCCGACCGAGCGAAACGGCATTATAGCGTAGCGTTTGTTTCAGAACACCCAGCGGCAATGCATCACGGTAGAGGCGACAGAATGGCCGCGACGCTACTTCCGGTCGTCCTACTTCTTCGGATAATATTCTAGCCGACGTTATGCACTCTGGGCTCCAGGTTGAATGCGCGTGAACTTAAGCACGGTCGCCTAACTGCCACGAAACCATCGAGCGGAGATTCAGTTTCGCGGTTTTGTCTCCGAAGACTCGCTGCGACGCGCATTCGACACGTTTGCCTCGCGAAAGTAACGGAATCTCGTCGTAGATTTGCGTCGCGACATCGCGTGTCTGCCATTACGTCGTCAGACTGATTGGAATACATCCGCGTTACGGAAAATCCATTTGTCACATAGTCGCCTGGAAAACATGAGTTAAAATAAATATTAGACTAGATATATCTGAGGAAATGATGAATTGCGAGTAACACAACTATGAAATATATATTTAGTTCTGCGTGGTTAAAAAAAAAGAACAATATAGCTTGGTAATGGCCAAAAAATTTGATATAAATTAAAAATATTTTTTATTAGGAAATATTACCTATATTACGCAACGATGTTTCTTAATTACTAATTCCACTGCCATAATGGACAAACAAGAGAATTTGTCCATAATAATAACTTTCAACATGATTAGTCGAACAAATAAATAAAAGTATCGTGTAAATAAATTCGAATTTATTTACACAATACTTTCAAGGCCATTGTCATTTTGTGAAAAAAGTATCTGAGTTCTTGCTCTACTACCGAAACAAGTACGAACTCTTTTTCTGTTCCGGCAGAGTCGCGTGTTCTCATTTCTGCCGTCTAGAATCTTTCCTCACTTTCCGAAATAAAAATTATCTGCAAAAAAAAGAATATTTTGTAAATGTCTCTCACGTACCAATATAATATGTATGATCTAAAATCGATCTCTGAATTTCGATATTTATACATTCCTAAATTTCTACGAGTATTACAAAAGAAGAAACAGCAATATAAAAATACATTGTAAGAACCGAAAGAATCGCTTTGAATATTGCCTGAAATTAAATTTACAAAATTTTTTTGAATAATGTATAAAGAACTTCAAAAAACGAGAAAAATTAATTGATTCGCAGAATTGAATAAATGCAATACGACGTAAAATGCGTATTGGTAAAATACAAAATTTTTTTTAAATCAAATGGTAGAAACACGCACTAATATATTGGGATCTCATTTTTTAGCAAATTGTCATCGTTTTCACCAGAAAATCTTGAGCACAGTGTTCATTATTACAGTCATTCAATTATCGATTGTGCTTGGTAGACCGCAATATTCGTTTTATTCGCTGCAATTACCAATATTTTGACTGCGACTAGTTTTGAGTATATATTCCAATATAATCCCATTATTGAATTATCGGTTATTACAGGAAACAAGTTGGAGGTTTTAAAAAAAGAATTTTGTTAATTGTAAATATCTGAGAGAAAAAAATAGACATTACGATTATCTCCTAAATTATAAAATTTTTTCAAATTGAATGTGAAAACTTCGATGCAATATGAGTTATTTTAAATGAAATTAAAAATTATACAGATTAATCCTCACTTGCATAAATAATAAATATTAAGAATGTAATATATTGGAAAATTGGATTAATTTTATATTTGTTTTATTTTTTCTAATAAGATATAATTAATATATTCCCCATTTCTATATAAGTTTTTAATTATAGTATTAATAATTATTACAATTTTTATGGTCCTAAAACAATAAAACAGTATTAACTCTTTGAGAAGCACATTTTTTTCTACCCGACGGATTCCTGTGAAATCTTGCATTTCTCTTGGTCAATAATTACGAATCTAAAGTCAGATTTCAAGAATTCAAAATGGTAGATCCAATATGGCTGTCATCTAGAGATAAATTAATATAAATATAAATCAATATGGCTTTTACGGAATTGCACTTTTAGTTTTCAACTTTTTCAGAAAGATTAAAAGTTCAAACTTCAATGTTAGATTTTTCTAAAGTTGCTGGAATATCTGGTTATGAATTTATGAAAATGATTAAAAAAAATATTTCTGAGAGTTTTAATCCTTTCTTTCTTAGAAACCTTACATGACAGATAATTTTTGATGCCATATTCATATTTAGCACGTCCTATTTACTAAAGAACGATCTCTCATGATAAAAATGCAAAAAACTTGTTATATAGTATAATATTTATCTTCACACAGTACACCAATATAATTTTTTTAAATCTGGCATGCAAAAGTTCTAGAAAATATACATATATGTATATTATATTTTAATAGAATAGAAGAATATTCAAATTTTCAGCCTCTTATCTTAACTACTTTCCAAAAAAACATTTTTGTAAAAAAAAATGCTCTTTTTTCAGCTTTATTTCTTTATAAATGATTAGAAAGGAACAATCGGGTATAATGACGACATAGAAAACATGTAAAATAAATAATAATATATCAGAAAAATATAAAATCATTGGTTTCATTAAACTTGTGAGCAATATATAAAAATGAAGAAGAAAAAGTTGGGAAATATACTTCCAACTATCCGTTGTACTATACTCTAAAAATTAAGGAAAAATAAATAATATAATTAACATGAGAGAAAATGTTTCAAAGAAATGTATCGAATTATATGTCAAAATGCCGCAAAATACATCTGAATAATCTTGTACATCAGGCGATAAAATCCGTTCAACTTCGGAAGTAAGGATAGACGCGCTGACGGTCTGCGAAACGCATAGAATCTTAAACTTGGAAACTTGCGTGAGAGAAAGAGCAATAGAGATACGCAAATATAACGAAGCTTTCCCGAGCTTGCAATGGCGCGACGTATCTACAAGAAGAAAGCAGGTTTGTTCGCCGAACTTATAATGACTCGACTTCGAAGAAGATTTTATTCTCAGTACGGTTACTGGTAAAAACGTATTGTTCGAAAGTGCATTAGCTCTCGGGGATTCGAACACCGTTGCGCCAGGACGATTCCGAGATTGTTTCATTTTCCACCATAAAGGGGACTGGCATTGTGCCTCTGCAGCGAGCTTGGCAGTATTGTTTGTGTCGGAAATGTACCTCGCTTCTTCAGGACCACTCACGAAAATGTAAAAGCGACGATATCCTTATCACTATTAACGCCCAAAACCGAATGTTTCTTCTATCAATGGGACCATATAATCGGAGCGCGTTGGTCCAATCGCGAATAATTCGCGTTAGCAGTTGATACCAGCGTGCACGTGTAAAAAACGGTCCTATGTGGTTGCTGTATATACTATATTAGAAACGTGATCTTAAGAATATTTCGGTGCCAGTCTTTCAATTAGCTTGTATAACGACGCCGAAACTCGTTGTACTTCAAGGACACTACGTATGATGCATATACACGAGATATGTTTTTATAGTTGTCAATATATATGTATATGCGGCTAAGCAAACAGAGAAAACGATTAAAATGACGTAGATTAAGTGTTATTTGTCATTCTCTATGTATAGATATACCTTTTTCATAAATCTGTACATTTTCGCCGAATTAGTGTTGCGAATTGTGTCGAAAAAATTTATTTGCCATTGTACGCATTTAATAAAAGAGAAAAAAATATTCAAAGAAGAGTGACGGATCGTGCACGAACGACCTACATTAATCGTACTTCTTTGGTTGAATGAATTTTTACACCGGATCGTTTAACAATTGTGAATCTTTAGGATATTACCACAATAACTCGTTAATCACTATTTTGTTCTTAATTCTTGATTGTTTCTGGTGTCATATTTTGAAGAAGCAATTTTAATTAATATTTGAGTTAGCGGACGCTAATTACCCTTCTTTAGAAAAACGGCTCTTTCACGCCTTCTTGTTTGCTACTTTGTTATACGAACCGGTTACTTAAGTTTCACATGCCCCGACCGCAATCTCTTTTGCTTTCCAAGCACCAAGAATTTGTACTTCATATTTGTGTCTATGCAACAAAAATGTAATAATCTGACGTTCTTTTTTATTTAGTAATTTAATATTGTTACATTTTAAGATGAGATAATTGAATAAAAAATAATTTACTGTTGAAAACAGAAATTATAGAGTACAGCGGGGTAATTTGAATAATTTCAAATATTTTAAACAATTTCTCGAAAAATAATAATTTTATAGTTACTTCGGATATGTAGCAGAACACTCACATGTTTAAGTATATAATATTTACTCAAAGTATAAAAAATTAATCTTTAAATCTTGAGACGTAATGCCATTATCCAATTTCCCCCTACAATTTTAAGAACTCAATTTGGATATTTTAAAGGGTAATTTGAATAACATTGAAAATGAACATTAAAATTACAACAAAAATCAAACTTTGTATTAAAAATACTTGAACTCATCCATAATCCTCTATTTACATTTACTTTCTACGTAGATTTTATAAAAACTTAAGAAAGCAGGATATATTCTTATAGATGGCAGTAACAACCAAAATTCTCTACCTACTTTGCTTAATATAAAACTCTCCACAGAGAGAGAGAGAGACTTCCACAAATACAGATATCTTTTCAAACCTACATGAATATGTAGATTTCAGTATCTTCTCTGCTACTAATCCTCGAATATAAAACATGGCGTCTCAAATTAAAAAAAAATTTTTTTTTAAATTCTTGCAAACACTTACTATTATCTAAAGTTCCCCGCTATTCAAATTACTCCACTGTATCCACTGTTAATTATTACAAAATAATATTTAAAATAAAAATCACAAAGAAAACAATTTAAAATAATTTCCTCGACATATCTGAGAATCAATAACCTGCAAAAACGTAAGTATCTTTAAAGTATTTTCCTATTTAATACTTTTATTAAACACACGGCTATATTTTGTATACATTCGTAAATGTGTTCGATAATCAATATATAAAGCTCAGCTCTGTGTAATTATTTCCATAATTATTATCTTCATATAATACAAAGCGCAGCTAGGAGGAAACTTTCCGTTACCAGCCAATAATTTCATCGCAAATGTAATTATTAACGCTGTCGGGTATTATATATACGGCAGTATATACATGCAGTTCATTACATGGGAATTAATAAATTTAATGACAGTTACAGCGTCATGTCGCAGTGCAACCGGTAGTGATGCATTATAGTGTAGTAGCTCCATCATCGAGGCATGCATCCAATTGGAAAGTCGATAGATTCTGTTACGTGACATGTGATCATACGTTCTGTTTCACAAGATACAACGCGCTTTTTTTATATATTTCATTTCCGAGTCACGATGCGTATTTTTTACGACTGAGCATAAATTTCAGCGACAATAGAAACATTCAGTACAGCATAACGTAACGTAGTTGGTGGTTCAGTGGATCGAACATCGAAGTATCAAAAATGCATCAAAGTGAGTATTAAATCAAATGTGGTGCGTGCGTGCGTGCGTGTGTGCGTACGTATATGTAGGTGCATGTATATATGTATGTGTATGTGATATCGATACCGCCATCCACTCAATGGACTAAATATAACTGTTCGTCCGCAAAATGAGCTTACACAAGATTTAAATTTTTTATTTTAATGGAGATCATATTTTATAATATTCTGTTAATCTTAATTAATACCGTAACTCAAATTACAATAAAAGTTAAAAGAAACTATAAATATGGAAATTATGAAGAAAAGAATTAACGATAAAAGAGGAAAACAAAGGAAAATAAATTCCTAAAAAAAAATTGAACTAGGAATTTGTTGTAATTTTAATTTTTTCCTGAAATGTGCCGGTACAATTTTCCGCAATGCTTTTGATGAGCTAATATAAGTTCGATTAATGGTGCGGATATATATATGGAACATATCAGTGGAACGTACATGAATTCAGAATGGATGCTCATACAAACAGTACGGTAATTCCATCAGTTAGTACTTGGTTAACGCAATAGGTCAATCGCATACACAACCCAGTCCCAATCGACATATATCGAAATTCCTATATCTATATGCGTAACTGACGTTGGCAGGCCATAACATGCGTGTGTTGTATTACTGAAGTAATCATGTATATCGCATTGCCATAAGTAGTAGAACAGACCGTAATGCATCAGCTGGAGTATGAAGAGGACTGTTGAAATTGTACGGCTCCAATTAATATCTAAAACGGCAGATAACTCATGGCCCCGACATTCGAATTCTATGCGTAACAGCTTCCGGCGGAGCAGCATTTCAGAGATCTCTCTCAATGGTTGTTTCACTTCGTGTTATTTCGAGAAACTCATCCGCGGATAACGATAAACAAATATTTGTCTCGGAGTTAGTAGCGACGCCCAATCCACGAAAATCGTGACAAATGCCGCAAGGAAAATCGATATAAATGTAAATAATGCACAAGACGCGGCTAGCAAACAGTTAGCGCTTTCATCATCTTACATATTCATTTCGAATTTTAACTTAGCTATTGTAGCAAAAGTAACTGCATCCGTAAACATGGTAAGG